CAGTAGACGGAATTTTGCAACGTTCCGAATAAATAAAAAAGATTTTCCGTACGTTTCCAAGGCAGTTGAAAAATGCGTATAATTTTCGTCACGAAATTGACACTTTAACGGAGGAAAACGGGTTGCAGAAACGGGTTTATACGTTAGCGAAATTTGATATTTTTATGGTGGATCCCAGTGCTTTAAACTATACTCTAATATATGCCAAAAAAAATTAATTGAGAATTTGTTTATTATTGACTCAATTTTGCACCTAAGTGTATGTGTGCTGTGCACACCCGGTATAAGTGAAACCTTCATAAAATCATCGGAATTTTATTGTAGTCTTCTGGTGTGTATTTTATTAAACTCTCGTGAATTATAAATTGCCACAAATATAACTGTTCTCTCATGGTCCAAACTGCTTTCACAAGCAATTTAGGAAAGACATTGATTCCAGTTTTTGTGCATTGAGTTCTATTTGTGGAGAACTATACGAGCTCCATCATGTGTGTTATGATTTATTACACCTCTGCCTGCTCTCGTCATTAGGCTTTTAAATTGAATTACTATATCAATATTAGGATTGTCTAAAGCTTTCTCATTATCCACCCACGCCTCTAAAAGACTTAGAAAATTATACGATGCACTAAGGGGTATTTGAGCCAAAAAACCGGTCAAAATTATTTAGGGGCCTATATTATCTCAAAATACAACAGAAAACAATATCTAATCAATTTTTTGGACTTATTAATAAAAATACATAAAAAAACAGAAAAAAAAATTTTAAAGTAAAAATTTTATAAAATTTGATTTTATTCGGAGTCAGTGCCATCCGATTCGCTGTCGCTGTTAACATCCGAATCCTCTTCATCATCATCAATATCTTCAACAGTACTGTCGTCCGACCTATTTAAGTTCGTTGCAGCCAGAGCTGGGCACTTTAAGATTACGATTACATTTGGATTACTTAGGATTACGATTATTGTAATTGTAATCCCGAAATTTTTCAGAATTACGATTACTGTAATTGTAATTATAACATGCTTGATTGCGAATACTTTAATTGTAATCCCTAAAATTTTACATTTACGACTACTGTAGTCGTAATCGTACTTTTTATGATTACGATTATAGCATTGAGGATTACGATTACAGTAGTCATAATCGTTGAATTTTAGGATTACAATTAAAGTAATCGCAATCATGCAATTCATGATCACGATTACGGTAATAAAGAAATTAGTTTGGCTTAGAGCAAATATTAATTTTTATACACTAAAATGGATTTAAATTATGCATTCGCATATTTGTTTGAAATTGTTGTAATATTCTACACAGACTTGTGGTCGCAGTATTTCCAATAAAGTTTGATTTTGATTCACTGTCCACCTTATGTTGTCACACAAAGGGGAGGGACCTACAGTTTTACGCCGACCCGAAAGACGATTGCATATTTTTTCATGACAGAAATACATTTGGAGGTTTGCCATTGCCTGCCGAGAAGCGACAGCTATTTGAAAAAAACGTATTTTGTTTTTACTTTTTGGGTTGAACCGGGCTTGAATACAAGCCCTGCGATACTTCGCCGACCTTCATGGGAAGGCATGGCATATTGATAGCTGCGGTCCAAGAGACGAAGTTGCACAGTAATTCAACACTGTTGAATTCTGCCGGGTACAACGTGCACCGTCGAGATCGCGAGCGGGATAGTGGTGGAGGCTTAGCGTTCATTACGCACCACACCGTGCACTATCGTCTTATCGAAGCAGACATCGACCGCAGAGATACCACCCTAGAATGTCAGGGCATTGCTATCCGGTCAGGCGATGTTGAGCTCGAAATATTTAACGTTTATATACCCCCTGTCAGAGGTGAAACCCGTA